CATTTGTCCTATATTTACATTTTCAAGACTGGGGTTTCTTAAGAGCCAAAAACGAAGTTGAAGAAATGAATATGACATGTTTAAAAAAGCTCAACGAAAGGTTTAGAGTTCCTGAAACTATTCGTTGTGCTCTAGAATCGTACGGTTATCTGAATATCTTGGAAGACGTAGATGAGAATAATATATATTGTCAAGTAAGTCATAATACTATATATAAATAACTTCTTTTCTTTTTAGCTATGCTTTATTGATAAGAATCCAGTAGAATGTGTAATACAGTTGATGTGTTTACAAGCATATGATGCAGAAACATTGCAAGCTGTACCGAATGTGATTAATGATGATGATCGATTGCCGTCAATAGTTAAAAAGATATAGTTGTAAAATATTTATTTTTCATTCATTCAGGAACATTACTCTTGCAAGAACTGTGCTACATTAGCAAAGCTGTATCATAGATGTTTCCATATGAAGTTTTATCTCTTAAGAACATGTGAAGATAAAGTAGACAACATATATAATCTAATTGCTAGACATATAATTTGTATCTTTCAGCTTGAAACTATTGGAACAGAACATCCACACAATACACCGGACAAGATAGTGGATATTGCGAAACGACGTCGACAATGGCAATCACAGATTCAGAATGAGTACTGTAACATTTGGAAGAAAGTTGATGCCATTTCAGTCAAATAAGGGTATATGCAAAGAGCTTTTAACAATATAGTAACAATATAGTATTTAACAAGATAAGAGAGTAAGGAGTGAAAAGTATCGTTTCTGTATGTATGTATGTGTGTGTGTCTATATAGGATGTAGAAATTAAAAAAAGGAGAAAAGAGAGGAAGGATGGAAAAGATGTTAACTGATAATAAATCAGATTAACAATTAATGTGATATGTATTAGAGAATATAGAAATATGTAGAGAATGGATATTTGATGTTCTCATGTAATTATAGTTTATTTAACTATTCTTTGGATTATTGCAATTCAATGTATTCATTTGTTTCAAACAACTCATAACTACCTCTTATCATACTATATGTGATAATCATATAATCATCATTATTGGTCATTTGGA